TAAAAATTATAAAATAAATATTTATTTTGCAAAATTTTACTTTTTTCTAATTTCTATTAGTAGAAAAGGTTATGAAATCATAGGTGACTTAAATATTTATATATTATAGTTATGCATAAGTTAGTTATGCATCTTTTAACCATACATTTTATATTTCATTATATTATATATTACATTATATTTTAAATAATCTTTTTCTTTGAAAATCAAATCAATACGTGTTAATATTTCTTGAATTATGCCTATTATTTTTACAATTAAACATTGTATAATTATAAAAAACGTCGCGTGGCACTTGGGGAGTGCCGGCAGAAGTGATACTGCTTATAGCGCGTTATTCCTATATGTGTGTTAATGAAATTGTATGTCTGCTTATTACTGAATTGTTAATATTTTTTGACACATTTAATTTCTTTAAAATTTACAAAATCTTTTTCCTTTTTTAATGATTAGGCAATTTTTTAAATTTAAATATAATATAGAATTTATTCCTAATTTACATTTTCATTATTATCATACATTTATGTGTAATTATCTCGTCTTGATTATCATTATATTTCATCGTAGTATAACTCGTCAAGAGTATCCAGTTAAAATTCCAGAAATATCGGAGCAAAACTGATGGAGTTATGGGCATTTAGGAGTAATTATGTGAATGAGTGAGGTGAGTGAGTGAGTGAGATGAGTGAGTGAGGTGAGTGAGTGAGATGAGGTTGCGTTTGTTGTTTTTAGAATGTTTCTTAGTTTTAATACTTTTATAGTAACTGTAATATAATATTGTGATAGTGCTTAATATTTTCTTGTTCTCAATGTAGTTGCAGTAGTAATATCGATTCAGGAATAAAGTTTCATAGGTTAGTATACAAATATGTAAACAAAGTAACGGCCCGTACTTCAGAGAATAAATTAATAGTTTTCATAAAGAATCTTATAAGTAACGTAGATCAGTTTCTCGATTAATTCTTTAGTCTTCTAGTATGTGGGCTTTAAAGCATGTTTCTTCTTGAATATTACCCTCCTAAATTGTTTAAATTGTCGCACCATCTTTTTATTGGTCTGCCAATACTTCTTCCTCCATTTGGTGACGTCTCCCGTGCTATTCGTACTATTCTATCATCTGCCATTCTACTGATATGTTCATCCACTCCTGTTTTCGTTTTGTCACCCATCCATTTATGTCTTCTATATTGCATGCCCTTCTTATGTTTTCGCTTCTCTCCCTATCTAACAGACTTCTCTCTGATATTCGTCGGAGTATTTTCATCTCCGTTGTTTCTAGCAGTCGTCTCGTTTTAGATGTGCCAGGTCTTGTCTTCGCCGTGTATGTTAATATAAGTCTGTTGCGTTTTGCACATACGATGACCTCAATATAACAATTGAGGTCAACCTGAAGGGGGAGAAAAGATATTTTGTTCAATCTAGAACCCGCTGGTTTTCCCCTTTCGCAATGAGTCTGTATATTTAAAATAAATAAATAATGAAATTAAAAATATAAATATTTATAAGCAAATATACACTTACAACTAAAGAAGAATATACAAACTTAAAATTACGCAATACGAAACGACATACCAAAAGACAACCATAAACTAACCAAAACAAAAATGTCGATTCTAACAAAAAAAACTACTGACCGAAAGCAGTAAAATAATTTCGTATATATACCAAATTACAAGCACAAAAACATTAAACACAAAAATATTGACATATAGTATAAGCACATCAATGGTACAAAAACAATTCAATAATATATATATATACTAAATTCAAAATATATATATATATATATATATATATATATATATATTATATATATATATATATATTCGGTATATATCAGGTGATAAAATGCACATTAAATGAATAATAAAATAAATGCAAGTAGTAAATTCATAAAGACACAAAGAATAGTAAAATTAGTACAATCTAATAAGAGGTCAATTAATAATTAATTAATAAAATTATGAATGCAACTAAGTCAATAATAATTACGGATACAGTCAAATATCTGTACGCAAACGTAAATATTGTCAACGGGCGACACAATGAAATATAAAGTTCAGCAAACAAATGTCAAAAGTTCAAAATCCGCGATACAATATGAGATATTTGGGCACAAAATATGTAGTTAGCCCATCCAACAACAAATTATGATGTATATACTGTGTGTATTTACCCAATGAACCAATTCCAGCCACAATGGGATTGCGAACCCTCTGGTCCGGTGAACAGTCAGGAATCCAACAAACAAATTGAGAGGTAGAATGCACAACCCTCACAGCAAACCACGTGTCGGTGGTTTCGAAGACAAAACTCAACTGTATACTATATGGAATGCAAAACCTTTATCTTAGGTACACACATGTGGCGATATTTGGCAGATGGCTTCTTGAGACTTTATTTCTTAAAATAGCTGCATTATTTCGTATAGGCAAATCTGGTATAAATATACTACGGGGAGAATCGAAACTAACAAAAAGACTGTTCATATTTAATAAATGTTCATGTATCGTTGCGAAACTGCAACAAAGTCTAATTGCTGCTTTATACATTCTTGTTTTGTGTCTTGCCTTAGGTGTTTGTTCTTCCAGATTGTGTCATTAAGAGAACCCGCCGCTTTACTTGCTTTTAAGCTTTGTTGTCGTACTTCTTCAACTTTTCAACTTTCTTTAATTTTTTAGTCATTATTAAATATTTTTAAAAGTTTATAAAATAGCAATTAAAACATCCACTTCACTTTCAATAAAATAGAAATATTGAATACATAGAATATAAAGATACATTTTTGAGTTCATTACTCATATTTTTTATTTAAAATATAAATTTATTGTTATTGCTTAGTGATGCATGTAATTGTATTTTTAGGATTTATCTCAAATCAACCAAATGCCGAAAGTTTTATGAACAGAGATACTATCGACTCCCGTTTAGTAATTTATCGTCTTATAGTAAATTTTTGCCTTATCGATGGACAATTGCTAATCTAAGTACGGTAATAAAAAGTCGAAGGATAATTTTTAATATTTATTTACTGTATAAGTATATATGTATTATTGTCTTATTTATTAGTAATTGTATATATTTAAACCTTAACAGAATCAAATTCCGAGATATTTTTTTCATGTTTATCTTGAGAGTACTAAAATATCTTAAACCTAAATATCTTTAAATTTTAATATTAAATATTTTTATTTCTATTCGAAAAATAGAATCTTATTTTCTTTCCGTTCTCGTCACTTTATACTTTCACGTTATCGCTCTTATCTCATTTTCTATCCATTCTCGTATTTACTAGGTTTCCCTATTCCACCAAACCCCCTCTGTGGCTCAGTGGTAAGAGCGCCTGCCTTTAAACCTAAAGGTCGTGAGTTCGAATCCCACCTGGGTGGAAATTTTCGTTTATTAAAAAAATTAATAAATGAAAATAATTTCTCTCCTTGTGTGATCGGTACACACCGGAGGGACCGCAGACGTTCGGATACAATTAGCGTCTCTTAGCAAAGACAATGACGTCGACTTTGCTAAGTATCAAGACAATTACTCTACACACACACACACTACACCTCAAATTGTAAGATTGGCATAGAGAAATAAAAATAATTATTATTTTTATTTCTCTATGGCTGGAGGAGAACTTTGATATACACCAGAGATATGTAAGTATCTCTGATGTATACATACAATTAGGCCAAGCAGACATCAGAGAAAAGTGCCCACCAACAATAACCAAGATTAGAACATCAGTAGCCATATTGAAAAACAATAAATCACAGTGAATGTATCAAATAGCATCGGAACTACTGAAAGTAGGAGGAGATGTTTTACTAAAAACAATACATAACCGCACTAAAAATTCGTGATGAGTTTAAAGATTATTTTATATCTCCAAATAAGAGAGTAGAGTTTCAAGAGCATACCATTCAAACACATAATTTAAAAAAAAACACAAATAAATTATTACAACCAAATTATTTATTATTTCTGTCTTCCATTACAACCTGTTGAATATCTTCAAAAATTGTGGTTTCCAATTTAGGTTTCATATTGAGACATTTTATTTCTTTCATTTTTGCACCACAGTATTTTTAAAAATAATCAGTAACATATGTTCTCAGTCCCCAGTAGCTTGGGGTCCTCAGGCCCTAGTTCGGTGCCTCAGGTACTGCAGTTCTATTTTTATAGGTGTCAAAATTTCGACCAAGCATGTGCCAAATCACATACAGTTTCTGGTAAAAGAATTTGCATAGTGTCATATAGGGCAAAAATGTACTTACAAGAAACGATATAAGAAAACATAAATAACTTTCTATATCAGAAACGATATAAGAAATGATACAAGAAAATGCATAGTGTCATACGGCCTTTACGTATACTTACCTCACTCGCGAATATCTTGGAGTCTAACTCTGTCGAAGTCCGATCAAGACATCTCTACCAGACTGAAGCCCATACCGTAGTACCCTTATTTGTATAACCGTGTTGTCAATGATCAAAGCGTTTTCCATTTTCCATTAAGCAAAGTTCTCCACATTAACAAATCATAGTTTATTAAAAAATGTATTGCACTTTTTTAGATTATGTTTAAATCTTCTGAAAACTAATCATAATTGTATAATAGTTTTAATATTATTGATTGGGCTCTAATCCCAGCGCCATATTGGTATGATCGTTAACCAAACCTTCTGACGCCTTTTTTAATATACATGTTAAAATCTAATATGCTCATAACTTCTACATAGATTCTAACACGATTAAATAAACCTTACCACCCTTCAGATGAGTACCGTTATTCCTTTCTATTTCAAATTAATAAAATTTTAGACCAGTATTTATATGACACTAAGGAATGTTTTTACGATTTTTTTTTTACGAAACAAAAATCAATTTTTTGAAAATTTAGTAAAAGTCCCCTTGTTGTCATACATTCGTTAAAATATTGTAGGGTATGTATATAAGAGTAATAATCAAATGCAGAAACTTATAAATAACAATACACTTACCTAAATGAAGTTTCAGATCAGCGGCGGACTGCGCAGACTCTATAGCCTTCCTCTTGTGCATCTCCATAGCTTGCTGTCTAAGCGACAGCTCTTTCTCCACCGTTGCCAATGTATTTTGTAGTATCCGCTCTTTTTCTTCCAGCTTTCTGACAACTATATTAGCGGCATCTACCTGCGTCGTTAAGGTACCTACTTGTTCTTTCAAAACATCCTTCTCTTCCCTAGCCAGTTTGTGAAGTTGGTTAGACTTAATTCGTTCCGACATTAGTTTGAAATTGGCGTCGTCCTTTTCTCGAAGTTGTTGGATCAGTCTAGAGTTTTGTTCCTAGAAGTACATAAATGAATAAATGTATAGTTATAGAAACATATTAAACAATAAAAATTTCAAAAAAGAGAACAGCTACATATTATTAAAAAGTATTAAAGCTAAATAACAATCTGAGATAAGTGAATCGATTGAAAATATATTCAGTTACTCAGAAATATCACCGATAATAAATTAGGAATACAAGAATGGAATATACGTAGAAGGAACTTAGTGTAAAATAAAATCCAAAAAGTCAAACTGTGGAAGAAGACTCACTACTTGTGGAAACGAAATTTTGAAGAATTCCGAAATGCGATAAGAAAATCAAGTCAGAGAAAATATCTAAATATCTTCATTACAAATTTATTTTAACTGACGGCTCCAAAAGTTTCAATGGAGTAGTAGTAGCTGCCATCTCAGAAAACAAAATTTCTGCCATCCGCGCAGCTAAAGAATAAAGCCTGGGACAATGAGCACAGAGTACAATGGAAAGCATCAATAGTCATAAAAGAAACCAGCATGAAACAGAGGAAAATCAAAGAAGCAGCTATCATCTTACTTAATGAAGAAAAATGTGTAAAGTTTGTTTAGCAGAAAACGATTGACTTCAATTAGTGCGGTCGTAAATGTTATTAAATTTATCTGACTTGGCCTATTGTCAAGACCTTGTACCTCAGGTAAACCATTGTTACCTGAAACCGGGCCTTTTATACTATTATCGGTTAACTCAGGATGTTTATAGTCGATACTAATTGAAGTCAACCATTTACTGCTAAACAAACTTTAACAAACATTAATAGAAAGTCATCTACAATTATACATAACACATAAACACCAATACATAAACATACAGGGTGTCCCCGAAAATAATGCGTTCCTTAAGGCAGGGGTGGGCAACCTTTTTAGTCGGAAGAGCCAAAAATTACAATTTACAAAATTTTAAAGTTTTTAAAGAGCCACAATTTTTTTTTGTCAACAATAAATAGTACATAAATAAAGTTCTTTGATAAAAAAATTAATCTATTTATTCATATGTAGGTATATATTATTTTTTACATATACATATATTTTCATACATTTCATTTAATGAAGTAAAAAATTAAAACAACTAAATATTCACTTATAACACTACCTTGCACTTCAATAACAAACAGTTGAGCAAATAATCTCAGTGGGAGCGTTGGCTTTGCATGGTTTTAGAAAGATTGGATAAATCTGGCTCATAATTGTTGTTTTAAGTTTCAGACGCGACTCTAAATTTTCATGCTCGCAAGAATATGTCGATCCGAAGATAGTTAGTACTCCAAATGCCAACTTCTTCACCACACTGTAGCAATCTGGAAGACTATTCAATGCGTCGAATATAAGTCCCTCAAGTAGCAGCATTTCTTTCAAAGCTGTCCATTTTTTTTGCGTTACGTACTTACATTTGTGGACTTCCAACTCTTCCAACTTACTTTTCAATTCTGTAAATTTTCCAATCCACAAAGTTTTACTTTTTAAATCGATCAATTGCATTTCTAAAGATCGAGTATGAATTCCAAATGGTTTAACGTGAATTTCGTTACTATTTGCGTTGAGAGGATTTACTATGAATGCTAAAGTAGTTTTGTTGGTTTTGAATTGTTCAAATCTGCCAGCAAATTCATCTTTAATTTTTTTTGTAACTGTGCTGAAGTCATTCCTGTCAACAGTTGCACTGATTTTATCGCGGTATTGTTTTAGAAATTGAAAATGAAGTAATTTACCGCTCTGAATATCTTCTGCAAAAAGAAAAAAATTTCTTCAAAACAAACCAATTATTCCACCAAAACAGGCTGGGTTTCCCTTTTCTTGCAGTTTTAGATTCAGCTCATTTAATTTCGCTGTGGTATCCAACATAAAGTAAAATTTTTGCAACCATTTGTCGTTCGCTAATTTAGGGTGATTGATGCCTTTTTCAGTTAGGAATGTATTTATTTCATTCAAGCACAAAGCAAAACGTTTCAACACCTTACCTTTGGAAAGCCATCGCACTTTATTATGAAGAGGTCGGAATACTGAGCCTCCATATCGTTTAAGAATTCTTTAAATTGACGATGGTAGAGTGCTTTTGACAAGATGCTATTAATAATCTTGATCACCAAATTCATGACCTCAACTATTTCGGCTGGATATGTTTGGGTACAAAGCGATTCTTGGTGTATTATGCAGTGAAAGGTAAGAATTTCGTGATTTAATTTGCTTTGAAGAATCGTTGTTGCTCCTTTATTTTTTCCTGTCATACTTCTGGCTCCATCAGTTGCTATTGAAACGATTTTATTCAAATCGATCTCATTGTCTTCAAGGCATTTTTGCACGGCGTGCGATACATCTTTCCATCTAGTTTGTCTCGAGAGCGGTAGCAATTCCATAAGTAAATCTTTGATTTTATTCGAGATTTCTGGTTTGTTTTTGAAATAACTAAACAGTTCTTCAGATGCACTTCAGATGCACGAAGCAGGCTGTGATATACTTACCATCTGTGAATGGTTTGCCTTTTTTGCAATTTCTAGTGTTACCGCGAAGCTTGCCAGATTAACATTACTTGCAGATACAAGTACAAAGACATGTTTGTTTTTGTACCTTATCGACAGCTTTTTTTCGTTCTTCGCCGGCTGGATAGTTACTAGCAAACTGAGCAAAATATATTATATTTATGATTTTTAATAGGAGTAAATTTTTTATATTGTATTGCTATGAAATAAATTTTTTTTAAAATTATTACTTAGGTATTCCAAACAGCAGACGACAAATGCTGCAATTATTTACTATGTCAAAGTATACGTAAGTACCTAAATACATACGAGAAGCTGGGCATAATGAAATAAAATTTATTAAAATACAATTAACAGCGATATTTCTTAATTAAAATACTTACCTAAATAAAATAAATAAATCTCTGATTATTTGGACACGAAACACTGTTTGTCCCACTCTCTCACGTACTGATTGACTATAAGACTATACTTAGTTTCGTCGCATATATAGTCGTCTCTCGTCTCCTGTGTGCGGTGATCGTCGACTGCTGACTGACATCGGCAGTGATGTTCTACATGGTACAGAGAAACTCCCTCTGTTATCCGAAATTTATCCCACTTTTTATCGGAATATCCCTCTCCAATAGGTATCTTCGTTTATCGCGAGATGGCGCAGCGAAGTCGCGATAAACCAGAGATATGTAAGATAAACGAATATACACAATATATTTATATCAAATTAAACCAAAGGATAAATAATACATCTTTCGTAATTTTTAAAAGATTTAATTGAAAATACGAATATAAAAAATGTATATAATAAAAAGTATGTACAATAACGTATAACATGAAAAAATGTTGGTAAACTAAAAGTGGTTATGCTGAAATTTTATATTTTTGGGAATAAATCACAATTCTGACAATATATTATCAAAAATACATTTTTTTCTAGTCAATATTAACACTAGCAGTTTAGAATGTTGTTGATACCTCAAACACCGCTTAGACATCGTAAGACAGCTGTCAATTATTCATTGACCTATGACAGATAACAGTTATTTGTCAATGTGTGGTCACTTTATGCTAAGAACTCAACTTAAAAAACTGTAACCTAGATAGAAATCTCCATTGAAATTTAAATTACTTACAGGTTTTGCCGATAGATGTCACATGTTGTAGATATTAATTAAATAAGTACTGAAATAATTTATTTTGCTTAATATGACAATATCCCTCATTTTGATAGAAAAATCCCTATATCCCTCATTTTGATAGAAAAATCCCTTTATCCCATTTGCTTCAAAAAATCCCTCGAAAAAGGGATAATCCCTCCCAAAGAACATCACTAGACATGAACAAACTTGTTAGAACGTGTTTATCACGGCGCAGTTTGTACTTTTTGACGACAATGACGTCGCGTGTTACGGTGGAGGTATGTGATGGAAAGCGAGTATAAGTGACTGAGAGGATCGGTGTCTAATCATCGTTAATCGATTCAGAAGGCTTTTTCAAACTTTTTTTTTGGTAAAATTTTCGTGTGGAACTAAAGTAAGAGCCGCAGCTTTACATCCAAAGGGCCCATGCGGCTCGTGAGTCGCAGGTTGCCGGCCCCTGCTTTAAGGTATGGATATAATATAAAATTTGGAACAAAAAAGTCTGTTACTTTTTTCCAATCCTTACCGTTTCCCAAAAAAATTACATTGTTTTCCATATACGTAAATTTTTATTTTCAGAAAATTAAATAACCTGGCCACTTCATGCGCATTGAAAGCGCGTCTGAATAAAAACTCGGTTGCGACTTAGGGTATTTAACATAATCCAACCCTTGTTTATTTATTATTTAATGTTGTTGACACCTGAGGAAATGTCTGCAAATTAATTATTTCTTGCTTTAATAATGGGGCGTTTGCTATTATCTGAATTTAGGTTTTTGAATAAAGTTCGAAGTTTTAAATAATTCTTATTTAATATTGTTCTGATGCTATTTTCTTACGGCACTTTAAAGTAGATACTATTTTAATGGGAATAAGCCACAATTGAAGGTTAAAATAAGTTTATTAACGTTTCAATTTCCACTTTTTGTAAAATTGAAGGACAACAATATGGTCACAATGGCATCAAATTACGATAGTATTGAACCACTCATTTTTTCAACATGCTCAACTCAGCTCTTGTTAATTCGTGGAGATTACAAATATTTGCTGAACATACAGAAATTGATCTTTTGGCTTTTCAATGAGATGTAGTACGTCAGTATTTAAGAAGTTTTGGGAAATCTACTTATTCTAAAAAACGAGTAGCATGATCTGTACCAATTAGTCTATGGATAGAAGCGGTCATTTTCCAAAGAAAATAGACAAATAACTTCGCTTATGCCAAGAAAGAATACATTGGATTTGTATAAAGTGTGAAGTTACTCTGTGTATTGAACGTGATTGTATTGTACAATTCCATACTAGTTAGATTATAATACAGGATATACACCTACTTTTTGCTAAAAATTTATTATTTTTTATGTCA